TGTAATCTGTAGTGGAATACATTTTAAAAGTAACCTTCCCAACACTGCTTGAATGAGTGCTTTTCTTGCATATGCGATGGATTGATCTTAACATAAGCTCCAGGAATATATCATTCCACGTTGCCACTGGTGCTGACTGTGAGTTTTTGTTTGTTTGGATGTTCCAAAGCTTAAAACGATTAACATTGTGCTCTTCATCACATACGTCTCTGCTACTCTCAGTGTCCTCATGCAGTACAGCTCTTCTTTTGCGACAGCCTTGTATGCACCTAATACCCCAAAGGCACAGTCGTACTCTTGGGAATTTCCTTCTCTTTTTTCCAGTAATCATACGATGTCTCACTTTCCAGGTAAACCTCGCTGCTCCTCCTACACGTTTCCATTCTATCTGGACCAACCAGCTTTGCGTTTTCTTTCAATATCCTGCTGCTCTGACTCTATGATTTAACTTTCTCTCATTTGCTCTTATTTTCTTTGTTCTTCATCCCTGAAAATTACTCCTTTTGATTTCACGCTTGTCACCTCTCAGTATGTTTCAGTATTTATGCTTCCTGTTGCACGTTCAGTTCCTTTCCTTCTAGTACAGGCACTTTTCTCCTTCCTTATGCGGTGGAGTCTGTGTCTGCTAAAGCTGCGAAGAAGAAAAAAAACTTTTGTCTGGTGCTTTATTCAAGGCATAGATCACCATAGCAACTAGCACCTCATGTTTGATATGTCATATCTTTTTTTTCCTCACATATGATGTAGCTACAGATGGGGATCGTTCACGTTAGGCGATTGCATAAACTTGCATTGCATATACACTGCTAGCTGCTCGCTGTAGCTCTTTGCTCATTTCTCTGTGTGCAGCTCCTGATCATCCTGCGGAAGAAGAACAATCAGCTGACGTTCCTTCATGTTTACCATCACAGTACTATGATCTTCAACTGGTGGTCGGGAGTAAAGTATGTGGCAGGTGGACAGTGTAAGTATTCTCATACTGAAATATTTTGTCCTCAAATCATTCCCCCAAACAACCATGAAGTCCACTAAGAGTAGAATTAGCTCCACTGCTTTAACTAGCTTCTCCCTTTAGGGGTCGCCACAGTGGCTCATCTACCTCCCCAATCTCTGGCATCCTTCTCTGTCACACCAGTCCTCTTAGTGGTCTTCTCTTTCCCGCTTGCCTAACAGCTCCATCTCCATAATCCTTTTTCCAATATATATTTAAACCAGCTTGTCTGTGTGGAAAACCTTTTTCTGTTGTTTCCTGCAGCGTTCTTCATCGGCCTGATCAACACCTTTGTCCACGTTATAATGTACTCTTACTACGGCCTGGCTGCACTTGGCCCTCACATGCAGAAATACCTGTGGTGGAAACGGTACCTGACATCTCTGCAGCTGGTGAGCGTCTCCAGCTCTGCAGTGAGATATTTAAAAATGTGCGCGGCAGCATGTTTGAATCATTAAACCGATGTGAACTGTGTCGCCTCTCCAGGTGCAATTTCTCCTGATCGTTGTGCACACAGCGTACAACCTGTTCGCAGATTGCAACTACCCCGACGCCATGAATGCTGTGGTGGTTGGTTACTGCATCACCCTCATCATCCTCTTCAGTAACTTTTATTATCAGAGCTACCTCAGGAAGACGAAGAAGCAGAAATGAGACGCCGTGATGAGGCAACACACAGCTGAAACACAACAGTTTAAAAAAATACACACACATATACATATATATATATACATATATATATATAGATATATATATGGGCATTGTACATGATGTACATTAAAGGTTTATTTTTTGAAGAAAAAAAAACTGCAGTACTTCGCAGCGACCACTGGAGGGCGGAACAAGTCCACAGTGTGAGAGTTTTTCTCAGGGTGCTCAACACACAACTAGCTCTGGGGACATTGACATTGCACAACATTTCAGGCTATAAATGCATTGGTGTGTTGCATTTGTTACGTAGTTGTCTTTATAAAAACAAACAATATAATAAACAGAACAAATGTGAGCAATCTGAAGCATCTGTCATATTGTTTTTAAAAAAGAGACACTGCGTGATGATTCAGTTATTTATTTCTTAAACTGAGGAATGACAAACATTCAAATGATTGCTGTAAACAAACTGTACATTTTATACATATAATAATAATAATTATAATAAAGTAGGATGGTTTCTCTGCCCAAACCCTCCTCCCGAGATAAATCCAAAAGCCAAAAAAAAAAACCTACTTAACAAGAGAAACACAAACTTTTTTTCCCCACTGATAAAACTTCACTGCAAAACGTTATATTCTCCTCTACACGTCAGTGTGGATTACCGAGAAAAAAAACAAAGAGGAGGAGAGGAGAGGTTTGTGGTGTTAAAATGAGATGTTGTATGTAGGAGCTGATTGTACTGTGTGCATTTAATTCAATTCAGTTTTATTTATACAGCGCCAACAACTGTTGCCTCGAGGCGCATTACAGAGTAAAACCTGCACCATCAACAACATCATTTATTTGCCGATCGTGCCAGCAGTTTGCAGCCTGGTGACTTGGACCTTTAATCCAACAGGATTTTAGTTTTTCAGTCTGAAGGCGCATTACAGAGTAAAACCTGCACCATCAACAACATCATTTATTTGCCGATCGTGTCAGCAGTTTGCAGCCTGGTGACTTGGACCTTTAATCCAACAGGATTTTAGTTTTTCAGTCTGAATGCTAATTAGCATTAGCATGAATTAGAATGAATTTAAAGACTGCAGGAAGTTTAAAGACTGTTTTCATGATGGGGTGCCCCATTATCAAACCTTTTTGTAGTCTCGTGCTTATTTTAGTGTTATTACTTGTACATTGGCCTTTGAAGTTATTCATGTTGTACAAAAGAAGTCAGCTTTTGTTTGCTTGAACTGTTCAAAGCAGATGCAGCTGAGTAGGCGCAATCATAAGTAGACAGTTTAATGTTTTAAAGAAAAAAAAGGTTGGGAAACACTACCATTGTTTTTGCCACTGAAGCCATTTCCATTCAGTGTCACAGTTGCATTTACATCATATTTAGCCTTATTTTTTCCACTTTATTGGTTTCTATCTTGCACTTAAGTCAGAATAACCCACTTACAATGTGATCTTTGTTCTGTTTTTGGAAAAACGAAACCAGAACTGAAGAGAAAAAAGATGTAAGCGTGTGAGGATGCACGAGGAAGGACCGCGGAGTAGTGTGGTGAAGCGTGTCTCGCTCCAGTTCCTTCATGTCTCTGTGTAGATGGAGGACATGTGGCTCAAGCTACGGTCAAAGCTGCCCACCTGGAAGAAAATGCTATCATCTGGGCTGGATAAGAACTGGCAGCCGCCGCCTCCCTGCAGCTCCTGGGTCAGGCTGAAGCCTGGAACAGATCCAGGAACAGTTTGTTTAATATGCTGATTAAATGGTGATACTTGCAGCTCAGCCTGTACACAAGCTAAGAGGACAGTCATCCTCACCCGCAGAGCCGGTGTTGCTCGTCGACATGTGGAAGCCATTGGGCTGATGTGAAGCGTAGGTGTGAGAATCTCCCGGGACGTGGACGCCACCGACTGTCTGCTCCATCCTGTAGGAGTCTCCGAAATGGAAGCAGCTCTGGAAGCTGCCTTGGTATTCTAAGAAATGGGCAGAGAGAAAAAGAGAAGCTGGACTTCATCAGTTGCCATTACAGCGGGACTGTTTCCACTGTCACTAAGCGCCTGGTCCATCCGGCTTATGACAATGCTATCTTTGTGTTTGTGCTAACACTGCCAGGCTACACGGTATGTAGCATTTGTCCCCGTCGTCTGAGTTTGTGATCCAGATCAACCGCAGGAGTCATGATAATGGGAAAGCAGCCCTTCCTGGAGCGCATTTACGCAACTGGCTGACCACAGCGTGGTTTGAGAGACGTCCATGTGTAGATCTTTACAGTGAAAACAGTGTTTAAGGCATTAGGAAAAATGCTCGGGAGTGACAGCTGAACCTGCCACGTTAGGACGCCGAGAGACGGCCGAATACACGAGCCAGCATTTGTTGGCTAATTCGAGGAAAAGGCTTCCGGCGTGTGGTTTTCCCCACTCTGTCTCTACGACTCGAATCTATCGCCGTCCTAAAAATGGTCTGACAGAGCTGGGGGGCTGTATCGGCGCGCTAAGAGACAACTTCCTCTCTCTTTTATGTGGCAGCGAGTGCTGCAGCTTTTGGAAGAGGAGCAGAGTTGGGTTCAGATTATATTCAGGTGATGTGTTCCTATCGTAGGAAATCATTGAATCACCTGCCACAGGAACCCTTTTAGGATATTAAACTGAAACATGCAGGAAGTGATTCAAATTCAAGCCGAAACAGATTTCCTGAAAGAAGTTAAGCTGCGTTCTGCGTTGAGTGTCGGGGTTAGCCTTACCGTCGCTGGCAGGCTGATGCTGGTGATAGTGAGGGTAAAGCTTGTGGTGAGGGTGGACATGCTGTTTCTCCAGCGGAGGAGGCGATGTCCCCGCTGTCTTCATCCCAGGAGACAGGAGGGAACCCGACACCCTGAAGCACACACGGAGAAACTAGGAATAAAAAGCTCTCAATTTAAAGTCATTCCTTTCTTGACAGCCTCAGTAGTTTCTCAATAAAATGCTTCATGCACTGTGACATCCCAATCAAAGCCGGAGCTGCATGCCGGCCCGCTAACCACATGATCCAACAAACCCAGCGGAGCAGTCAGTGATCCTGCACACACATCGAAGAAGAAACAGTCCAGGCGTGTGGAAACTTGGGCTCCCCACACGTAATCTTCCTCCTACCGCATATTATGATCTTAAGTCAACAAACAGCCGAGTGTGCATTGAAGCGAACACACACCAGAGCAGTAACCCTTGGCTTTGTGGCCGGGGAAGAAAAAAAATACAACCTCTGTTTACCTTCATGACATTTAAGTGAAGAAATATTAAGTTAACGTGTTCGAGACTTTGTGGACTCCAGCCTGTGCAGATATTGATATTTTAGGTAAAGATCCGTCTGTGCTATTGGACCCATTTGTCATTCGATACAGCAGCAAATCTCCAAGCTTCACACGGTGCCAGTCCTGGCTACACGGAGTTGGTTTTTCTTCAATCTCTGCATTTAAGAGGCGCACTCTGTGCTGGAAAAGCCACAAATATGACATCAAATCTTGAAATCGAAGCAGAATTATGAAATGTTTTCGCTGTTCGGTGCCAGTTGAACTAATTGACTTTGCAAAATCTATAGTATGACATCAGAAAACTGCAATGTGCTTCATCACCACATCTTACTGTCTAACGTGAAGTTTCCTGCTGTCATGATGACTATGATCCATCCATCTTTTGTTGACAGGATGACAGGTAGTGGGGGTAGCAGTTTAAGCAGGGACATCCAGAGCCCCCAGCTCTTCCATGGAGCCAACAAGGTGCAAGTGACCAGTAAAAATCCACAGCCTAAGCTTTCTCTACATCCAGTAAAACATATACAGTCCATATTACTACTGACAGTCCGTCTGTCAATCTCCTGATCTCAACGATGATTGAAGTATTTCAATGGAATTTAAGTTTCAAGCTTAGTTTGTCTAGAAAAGTAACTTATAACTAAATCACACCTGCAGTCTGACTTCATTACTAATAGTTTGAATTTGTTTCCATTAGGGATGGGTATCGTTTAGGTTTTATCTGATACCAGTACCAAACCGGTACTTTTGAAACGGTGCCGGTGCTTAAACGGTGCTCA